AGGTGGAGCTCTTGCCCGAGCGGGACCTGGATAGCGACGGCACGAAGATCAGCGTAAGTGGCTCAGTCCGGGCGCTGCAGCCGAGACTGTTCCACCCGTGACACCCCTCCCCATCTGCATCCCCACCCGTACCGCAAACTGAAGCGGGGAAGCGGCAGGCAGCCCCGCAGCTTCTTCCTCGCCGGCCCTGGCAGGGGTGGGTGAGGACAGCCCTGCCCCACTCAGCCTTACACCCCTGGGGATGAGGCATCGGCAAGCGAGGCCCAGGAGGCACTCGGCAGACTGTTTCCACGCCATGAAGCAGACTGCCTTAGCACTCCAAAACCGGTTTTAAGGCCGAAATTTGGGCGTGAAGCTGCACTTTCCTTCGGTGGGCTGTGCAAGTATTTAAATGGATGCTTTCCCAGGTTCATATCCGCTGACAAAAAAACAAAACTCAAAAGGTCTTTGGACAAGAAGTTTTTCTTGGGAATAATCTCTACTCTTGGCCACTGAGACTCTTTCTTAGGAAAGTGAGGGTCCAACACTAGAGATTAAACCAGAATATTGTCTCAATGAAGTTGTAATCAGCATTGTTCCAGCCTTTGTCCAAGGAAGGGATGCCTTCCTCAGCACACTCATATTCTGAGACAGCCATGGCCCCTCACCCCAGAAGAGTCAAAACCCAACTCCCTCAGCATCCCAAGAAACCTGTGGTATTGGGGGGGTCATGGAGTGGTGCTCACTGCAGTGGAAAGACACATACACTTAGCAGAGACTGCAGCATCAGTCATCCTTATGAGCCCAAAGGGGTTTTCCCTTTCTCGGACACAATCCCTTGGGAAGTGCCTTTTAGCTGCAGCCAAGGCTTTAAGTAGCAGCAAAGCTTAAAACAGCAGCAGATAGAGGTGAATCATTTCTGTTAAATCGTTTATTCTACCGCTCTTTGATGCCTACAGATAACTAACTAAGCCATTATATCAGGCCAAAATGTAGCTAGGCAGAGCTGAAGGGCATTTATAAATGAGAATTCAGATATGTTATATTAAAAATGATACATATTCTAGCCATACTTAATTTTCTTATGACATTTCTCACCATACACTGGAAACGAGTTGTGTCATGGACCCCGTAGCTTCAGTTTCGTTTGTAGACTATCTTACAAATTAGGCCCACATATGGTCTTTGCATATTATTCTGCTAGACACAGTGCTAGCAGCCTATTTATTCCTTTTCAGTACTGGCTTATTCAAAACAACCGTAGTATCCATAAGAGCTATGACACACTATAGGCTGAAAAGGTTGTCCCATCTTTCAAGTAACATTGACAGCCTAAACACATCAGTTAAAAATGTAGCCTTCCTTTTTTTCTTTATTGAAGGCACACAAAGAGTTTCCATTTGTACTGCTGGAAAGTATCTTCATAAAGAGAAAAGCAAACTTTAAAGTTTGCTTTTAAAGTAGTACTTTAAAGAAATAGTAAAATACACTAAATGTGGTTTTAAACTGTGCTGAAATACACCACTTCTATTGGTTTTAAATGATAATCAGTTATAAACTGAAAACATGCATACATGACTGTAATAATTTCTAAATTTCAAATGCAAAACCTAAAACAAATTCTGTTTTTCATTAGTGCTGTGCAACACTGTTAACTTTGCAGATATTACATGGGAGAACATGAAGACAGAATATGATCTACGGATCTTCTTTCTGTTTCTGTGAAACTTCTTTAATCCTTTTGCTGAATATGAGCTGCTCAGTAGAGACATATTATTGAATATAGTTTAAATAACTATCCAGCACTTTCTATGTAATTAATATTGTATACATTATGCCTGAAAGTATGCAATCCATACTCTTTACTCAGTTTGCCAAGTATAAGTTCAGAGTTGGATACAACAACACAGTTTGTAAAGCCCTCGCAGTATCTTATAACAATAATGTATTCACAAGTATTGCTTTTCAATTTATCAAGCAGACAGAATAGATGCTTCACCAACACTAGCAGCTACAGCATACTAAGCTATCAGAAGCAATGTGTTGTATAATCACCAGTAACATGTGCCTGGTTTCAATCTAGCACTTCTCCATTTTTGTGATCTACCATATATTCACAGTAAATCTCTAATCTTTCCTCATTGCCCGTCATTGATATGACACAAAGCAACATTTGCATCTGTGTTTATGTAATGGATGCAAAACAAGTTTAGCAATTCTTCAAAGCTCAGCTTTTCTGTCCCACTGAATCTCTTTTAACTAGCTTCCTGTGGGGCAACATATATAAATCCAGATAGAGAGTAATAGCCAATTAATTAAATATAAATTCTTTAAAATGATGAAAGTACAGAAAAGAATCTGTGTTACCTTTCCTAATGCATCTTAATACCTATCACACATTTCTGGATGCATAATTTACAAATGTGTTTTAATTACGCTAGACAAAAATATGTTATGCTTCCCCTAGATATTAAAATACAGTTACAAATAAATCATGAGTCTTTAGCTGACAACTTTTAAAACTAACTTGAAAATTTGCTGCAGAAATGATATATGACTTTTAATAATTACACACTTAAATAAGTGAGACAAAAGGAACTACCTGGCACAAGACATCTTGTTATGGCTAACAAACAAAAATACTGAAGGTTTGGACATGCATGAAGGAGGCAAATTGAATGTCAAATACATCGTTTCAATGTAATGAAGACTAAAAGCTAATCTAATAAATTGTTATTAAATAAGTTTTAATATTAGCAAACTTTCAAAAAAATTTAGCGCACTAGTTCAAAAACTGAATTATTCAATAAAGCCAACTAACTGGAAATGTTTAACCAGCAACATGCACAGATAGATTTAGGTAGGTAAACTAATTAAGAATGTTCATGATCTCAAGCAATTAATTGGAATGAGTATGGTACTTTGCATTGTTTGTCTGAGACCAAGTAGCATTTCAGAGCAAATCACCTAAACAATTTTGGAAGGAAGATGTCAGACAACATCATAGATACAAATAATCATACTCATCATTGACACAACTTCCCTGCAGTAAGCACAGTCACACCACTGATAAATTTGGCACTTGACTTCTCTGGACAGGCTCTACATTGATATAGTCTTCCCAGAGAAAGGATGATACCTGACAACATATTTGTTTGTTTTTCCTGGCAAATTTGCAGACAGTTAAAGTACAAGGGAATGACATCTCCCACAAGCTGCAGATTTCCAAAGTGAGGAAAAAGGATGAAGGCTTGTATGAGTGCAGGGTAACCGATGCCAACTATGGAGACCTTCAGGAATACAAGGCCCAAGCATTTCTCAAAGTCAATGCTAACAGCCACTCTCGGCGAATGCAAGCCTTCGAGGCGTCTCCAATGTGGTTGCAAGACATGAAACCTCGCAAAAACATCTCAGCAGCTGTTCCAAGCAGCATCCACAACTCTGCCAATCAGCGTGTGCGTGCCACCTCCAGCCCTGAAGCAGCAGCCAAAATCCCCAAACAAAGTCCACAATCAGGTATGGTAAAGCATTTTGAGCTTTAATTTGATTGCTTACCAGCATGTAAAAGGAGGCTAACTCAACAAGGTAACCAGGAATTGTGACTAGGAAGAGTATGGTGCTCATTTGTACTTCCTTCTTTCTGGCTCTATTCCTCCTGCTATCTCCTTCCTTCCTAAAAGCTGAAGAATAAGTTTCTGGGCAGAAGAAGCAAAAAACCTTAAATTCCTGTACATGGATTTGATCTCTACTGGTTTTATCCACCTAAGGTTAGCTCTCTAATTGAAGCTTAGCTTTTCCTGTAGTGTGTGTGGAGAGAGAAGGGCATGTCAGTGAATGACTCATCTAATTTTAAAATGGTTGGACATGATAAATTAAATACAACACCCATCCAGAAATGTTTCTTCCTAAATTAATTTACGTCAGCCACCTGACTTCTGTACCTCTAGCATTTGGTGAAATTAACCTACTTTTATTATCAATCCTATTTTCATAAGGAACTTGTCTAAATCTAAGCAGATCTTAGATGCACCAGATTGTTTCTCTGTTGCATTGGCTTTAGAAAGACCGTGGGTTTGTCAGAGAATGTGGTTTTGTCTTCTTCAGCTGCTTGACCATTGACTTTGAATCAAGCATTAAAATGGCAATGCCTCAATTGTCTGTCCCCTAGAAATGAACATACTGCATATTTTGTTTGGGAGATTTGTACAGCACTGTATAAATAACCTATAAGCAATATAAGTCTGCATTTTCTACTTTGGTACAGTAAAATTCACAGTTATGCAAAGGCATATGAATATTCAGGAGGTGCAGCTGTTGACCACTGTATGATGGCAACAGAGGGACAGACAGGGTTGAAAATTGAGTCATGATGTGAAAGATCAAAAATCCTCTGGAAAACAAACAGTGCAATTCTAAGGGCTTCTGAGTTACTTCCGTTTGTCCTGAGGGTGCAGTGTAAGGCAGGAGATCACAATGCAACTTAAAATATATAATGGAAACCTAGTTTGTTCTGATGCATCATTTTTCTGCCAGCAAATGCCATATCATCAAAACCAAAACAGGGAATACAACAAATTTCATAGCACACTTACTGTGAAATCACTTTCATCTTACAGGCCTACTACTAGAAAAAGATTTTGATAAGCAAAATAAATTTCATTATAGATTGGAGCAGTATGATTATCTATATGAAAATTCTTACTGCAGTTGGAAAAGATGATGCAGATACTACCACCATTTTACCTCCATATTTTGTTTTTTAAAAAAATATTTATTTGAAAGTTACATTCAGTTCTCTTTCCATGAAATTGAGCCACTTCCATATTTATCTCTTCCAAAAATGTTTAAGCTGTTAGAAGAAAAGAAATATTTCAATCGATTTAAAATCATTGTTTTACCATGACTAGCCTTTCAGACAAATGTGTATACTGCTCATTTTCCATTGGACTCATACATTTCAAAGTAGGAGACTTGTCCATAAAGTGAAAACTCTGGTCTCTTCATTTCTATGGTAAATTAAAATAGTCACAAGTTTATGAACTATGTAGCTACAGAGTACACTGCATTGCGGCCAAAGTGTTCACACAACAGTTAATCCACTAAATCACTTTGGATATATAATTGAATCAATAATATTGTTTATGCCTTTAGTTCAAGCAATGTCTTGGTTGTGTGTTATTATATGGAAAGGTCCCTGTTAAAAACACAAACAAAAAACAAAAACAAAAATAACCCTAAAACAACCCCCCCCACCCCAAACACAGAAAAACTTAATCTCTAATTTTTTCCATGAGCAAAGATTACTGCAGATCAAGTACAGACAATCCCAACCATAAATAATTTTTAAATTAAACAGATTCAAATGTAATTTAGTTTATTAATTCATTTGTTTTATGATGAGGCACAGATTAATGCTATATTCATCAGAGGTGAAACTCATCTAATGAAGAAAAAAAGTGCACCAAGAATCCTTATTAGGTTTCATTTCAATTTACCAGTCACTTGCTACACAGTAATGACTGGTGATATTTTTGATGAACGTTAGTTTAACTCCTAAAAACCAAGATTTCCTTTCTTTTACTTGAGAATATCTGGGCCTGATTTTCTAGCTATGGTGTGATTTGAATTTTCACTCCATTTTACACTCATTTTACACCAATAGAAATACCCATGGGAGCAAAAGGCAGTGGGGATTTTTAGCTCTATATAACTTTCAGGAGCAGCTTCAGCTGACGAAGGAAAGACATCTGTTGTGAGACCTTAGAAAATGAGAAAGGAGATATCATAGACAGTAATAGTCTTTTTACGGTGTCATCACAATCTCCTTATACTGTCAAAAAAACCCTCTTCCCTTTTTTCATGCTAGCTGTATCTGCATGCACAAGGCTGCTGTGTGATCATATTACATGTAAGCACTGAAACGAGCCCAGAACACAGAAACATGGTTGAATACAAGAAACATGGCTGAATACAAATTTGTCATTATTAACCACGTTTGCATTTGAATGACATAGAGGGTGATTGATGTTTTTCTTCATGTTAAGTAATACATTGACTTCAACAGTACTATTTGAAGAGGCATGTAATATTAACCATAGGTAATTTTATCAAATAATCTCCAATATGAGAGAACGTAGATGCACAGTTATTGGCAAGGAATGAATTTTACTGCCATGCTCACACTACTGGGAAATAAATTTACATCAGAGGGAAACATGACATGGTAAAATTTTGGGGAAACCTGTATTCAGCTATTTCTGAAGAACTTGGCTACTAGTATAAGAAAGATTGTCTCTGATTATATTAATATTTTGTCACCAAAATTTATTTTTGAAAGGTAGACAGCACTCAACTTCTTCTGTCCTGAAGCACACTGTGGAATTTCATTTATTTCTTAACAATAGATATTTAATAGGTAGTTCTAGAAAGCAGTCACTGCCATATTAAAATATCAGCATTTCCCAACTGAAGAGATATATCTGCCATTCTCCTCTTTTACTCAAAAGTAGGAATACCTTTATAACTATGAGGGAGGTATATAGCCAGGGCTGACAAAAGAAAGTGATAGGAGGTCCATTCAGCATTTTGCGCTGCTCTGAAAAATGCTATGTGAGTGTAGGAAATGTATTTGTTATGTATTCAGTACTGGAAGAAAGACCTAAAGACATCTCCCAAAGACAGTCTTCAGATAATGTACTGAGAAACACTAGACATCTTCCTCAAAGTCAAACAACTCGGGAAAGTAAAAGTCAAACTTAATACAGCTTGACCCTTTCCTTTCATATTCATGGGCTGCAGCAAATCACATCTTACCAGGGATCTGTGTAATTTGACAGGCTAATCTGCATATATCCAGAAAATGTCCTGTGTATGTGGAGTGACAGACATATTTTTTCCCTTTATAATTAATAACAATGTGTCTTAGTCCAAAGGTAAAAGTATAGAGTTATCAGAGAGCCTTGTAAATCTAAGTAATTTTGCAATTAACTGGGGTCCAAGAGCTGCAGTGAATTCAGGTAAACGGAAGCTAAATAATCTACAGGCTGCACTGAGTGTCACTGTTTCATGGATATAAATCTAGACAAACTCTGCTACTTGCATTCAAGTCACTCAATGTTTACAGCAACACAAAGGGCTGCAGAATTTGATGTGCTGAACATCAGCGCATCCACCAAATTCTTCTTATTCTGCCAATGCTCTCTTAAAGCACTCAAAGCCATTAGTTGCTTTTTAGACTCGAGATCAGGCTCAGAGAAGTCAAGAGGGAATATCTACAAATGGAGAAGCAATGTTAGGTCCATTTCCTGACTGCTTGTATACAGACTCTGCACATTTCGTGCAATTTTTTGTTCTTTCCTGAAATAACAAATTCAACTATTAACCTAACTACGTGCCAAAACTATTCCTGTGATGATGGCAGAGTTGCAGTGAGTGACTTGAAAAGGAGGTCAAAGGAGAAGGTGGTCCTTATCTAAAACAGAATGACTTGGATTTATGGCATCATAAATCACACTGAGAAGTTGATTGTCAGTCATGAATGCAAACAAAGAGGATGAAAACGTATGTCTTCAGTTTATTGATACTAATAAACTGATAACACTCCTTCCAGCCTTCATTTCTGTCTACAGAACTCAGGAATCTTTTATTAGCACATATTCAATTTGGAGTCTTCTAGGGTATAAAAAACATTCTGTGTTGGTTTTTTTTTGCCTTTATGTTGCATTTCCTCTCAAGACGAGATGCATCAAGATGAGATGCAACATAAAAGTGAAGGGACACAAAGTCTACTCTAACTTCCGCCAAGGCAACAGCCAACATTACTTCTTCACTGAAAGAAAGACTTTGGCTTTTGCAGCTGCTGTTTTAGAAACTCTGCGTACCCATAAAGCTGGGAGGCACCAACTATTACGGTGGTAGTTGCACAGCAAAAGTTCAAGTCACTGTTTCTTTAGGCCTACATTAAAGCAAAAACCAAAAGAGTTTTGTTCTTCTCATTCTGAACCTTATTCATCTGTTCTCAGAAATTTTTGCAAAAAGATGATGCAAGGACCATACCATTTTACATCTGTATATACTACAAATCCTCTTTTTACTTGAAACTTATATTTTGGTTCTCTATTCCTGAAATGGAACTGTTCCACTTTTTTAGCTTCTCTGAAATAATGGAATAAATTCTAACCATGTTAAGTGATGCAGCCCTTTTAGCCAGATAGTTGTTGACCTTGAAACTGTAAGCATCTTCTGAGAAGTGTTAATCCGCTTAAAGTAACTTCATTGACAAAGGAATGTCTTAATAGTAGCTAACCCTCCTTTTTTTTTTTTTTAGCCCAGGATTTCTCATGCAGAATGTATTCATTACTGCCTTATGTTTCATTCAAAAAACACACATCTTAATTTCTTATATGTGTGTACTTACTGATATAACCATATGCATAGAGGTATTTAAACTTCTGTTCCTAGTGCTTTGTCCAGCTGAACCCAGCAGTAAACAAACTGTTTTCAGTGGATCTGAAGTT